CTATGTTCTTTCCCCCCCTTCGGCTGGAACAGATTAGTCATGTTTCCAATGGGTCTTGAACAGTTTGTTTGTTTTTTGCTTTGCCTTTTTTCATTTCTAAAGGGTCTTGCATGGTTTGTTTGCTTTTCCGTTTCCCCCCCTTTTTGACGGAACGGATTAATCGTGTTTCTGATGGGTCTTGCAGTGTTTTGGGTTTTTTTGTGTGATTTTTTTCTTTGGCTGGAATGGATTAATTGCATTTCAATGTATTCTTTTGGGAAATGGTGTTTCGACTTGCAACCATTTTGAGTTACAACCGGAGTTCCAGAACCAATTAAGTTCATAAGTTGAGGCACCACTGTATTTATTTATGCTTTGGACTTCCAGAACCAATTAAGTTTATATGTCGAGCCACCACTGTATTTGTCACTCAGACATCATTCCTAAAGAACAAATGTTAGAACATGAGGTCATCATCCTCGAGATTTAGCAAAGTTTCTGAGTGAAGGTGAAGGCAAGAGAAATAAGATTTCAAAGAAGAACACAACCATAGCTGTTCTGGAAGAGTGTTTTAATAGTAACCCGCTCTCAGGGGAGGCAAATTGAAGCCTCTGAGGAAAGTGCTGAAACTCTTGTTGAAAGACACATTTTAGGTGAACATCCTGAAATGAGAGAGACAGCTGATTTAGTGCTAATGAAAAATTCTAATAGTTCCTCCTTTATTAAGGAGCAGAAGGAAGATATTTCCTTAAACGATTGCTTTGGAAAAGTTAATTAGAATCCCATTCCATTGACCCCTGAACACGCAGAGGTATTGTGTGAAAAAAGATTTATTATATAGAGAGGTTTTAATGACTCCTCATGGGTGGGGAGGACCCCACAAATAGCTAATTGTCCCTGTTAAATAGAGATAAAAGATTATAGGAAAGGCACAGAAATATGTATTTGGTGCAGTTGTCAATGGGGCTGATTTGTGGAAGTTTACCACTTTACATGAAACTGCTCTGTTAACCAACTGAAAGAAGGCTCCACATGCAGCTGCGAAAGCACTGAAAATCCAGCAAAGCAAGCCACTGCCTGAGAACCCAGATGATGAAAGTCTCAATGAACCTGAAATAGGCCAAGTATTTGAGATGGCACTTAAGAGGAACTTGCCTATGAATTTTGAGGTGACCCGGGAAAGTGGTCCCCCTCATATGAAGAGCTTTGTGACTAAAGTACCTGTGGGCGAGTTTCTGAGGGTGAAGGCAAGAGAAATAAGATTGCAAAGAATGCAACCACAGCTGTTCTGGAGGAGTTGAAGAAACTGCCTGCAACCATAGCTGTTCCGGAGGAGTTGAAGAAACTGCCTACACTTCCCACAGTTGAGGAAATGAAGCCACTAAACAAAAAGAAAACAGGCTTAACCTGAAAAGGTGAGCTGAGGACATCCAGTGGACGTCAGAGAGCCAGGTAGCCTTCAACTGTCTGAAGATGGTATGGATTTCAGGACCTGTCCTTGTTGCACCAGACTTTGACCATGAGTTCATCATTTGCACAGATGCATCGAAGGTGGGATTGGGAGCCATGCTATGTCAAGCAGACAACCGCAGGAGTCTACACCTAGTGACTTTCAATAGCAGGAGACTGCAACCTGGTGGGAGACTTTTGTCTGCCGTTGAGAGGGCATGCCTAGATATCATATGGACACTGCAAAAGCTGAAGCCCTATATTTGGGAAAGGAAATTCGTCCTCTGCACCGACCATTCCCCTTTAGTGTGGCCACGAACTATGAAATCCAATGGCAGCAAACTTGCAAGATGGACGCTGATTCTGCAAGACTTTGACTTTGAAATCCAGATTAAAAGGGACCCAGAATATGATTGCTGATGCCTTGTCTCGAAGGCCAAATGACTAACAGATGGATAAAAGTTTGTAATATTGTATTAACTGTTCTGTTTGTGTAATGGTTGTGGAACACGCTTAAAGTGCAGAGTTTGCTTAGATGTTGAAAAACTGAGACATGTGTAGTGATGGTAAAATGATGGTGAGTATTCTTATTGATGTAAAAGTAACGTAATGTAAGTGGGGTCTTGACTTGAGAACTTAATCCATATTGGAAGGTGGTTCTCAAGTCAAAAAGTCTGTAAGTCAAGTCTCCATTGACCTACAGTGCATTGAAAACCGATTAATCCCGTAACAGGCCGTTTTTGTTCCATTTTGGTTTTTTTTCTGGTCTGTAAGTCAAATCTCAGTCTGCAAGTCAAACCTAAATTTTGCAGCCAGAGAAGTCTGTAACTCAAAAAGTCTGTAAGTCAAGCCATCTGTAAGTCAAGGGTCCACTATAATTTGTATTAATGTAAGTAATGTATCCTTGTTAATGTAAGTAATGAAGCCACTGGCAATGGTGCGGCTAAAAAATATTGTAAATAAATAAATAAATAAATAATGTAAGAGGTTAATATATATTGATGTAAGAATAATGTATCCTTAGTGTTGTGAATAATGTAGAGGTTGGTACAGTATTTGTATTCTTCCATAAACCTTTGTTTGTTTATGAGAGCAAACCGTTACGTTTCCCCTCCTAAAATAAACTAATTAAGGGGGGAGGAATGTGGCGTCCACCAGGTCATGAATAGTCATATCCTATCTGCACAGACCAATGGGAGTACTGGAGGGGCGAAGTCACGAGCTATAAGAGACTCAGCAGGAGGAGGAGGAGCTTAGTTAGGGAGTTGAAGAGATTGAGTTTGGGGAGTTTGGGCGGGAGAGTGGTAGTTGAAAGTGGATAAAGGAGGATGTTTGTTTAAGAGTTAACAACACTGCTTGTCCTGTCAACACCTGTAACAATAAACAATTTCTATTTGGTTCTTTTAAAATGACATATGGCCTGGACCTCAATTATTAATAATAGGTAATGTTGATGTAATCAACTGGTGGTAGCCGAGGGGCACGTAGCATGAGGTCTTAGTTTGGTGAAACAAACAGGGGCCATGTGAGGATCGTGACAGGAACCAATGGGACAAGGGGGGCAAAGCTCCTTTCCTCACTGCACTGAACTTGCTAACTCTCAGTGCAACTTTGGGGTACTCATTTTCCATGCTTAAGTTACAAATTAGAGGAAAAAGCTGAAAATTTATGTCACTGCTAATAAAACATGTGCCATGGCAAGCAGAAGTGCATACCCACACCCCAGGGAATCCTTCTCGTCCACTGCACCATTACACTTGTTCACGAAATGAAGACTTTATCTTTTCCAACACCTTCCGCCGCCATTAAGTCTGGTTTTCTGAAGTCTCTGATTATTTCTTTCTGATTGCTGCTCTTATCCATTCTTGCTTAAGGACTTCTTTATTTTTAATGTTGTTGCAAGCCATCTTGTGTGTTTATAACAGAAAGTGAAAGTGTAACTGTTTTGATAAATAAGGTATCTCACATTTCTGATGCACAAGCTGGGAATCACACATGTTATGTGCAAAAAACAAAATCAAGAGCCTGTTATTAGTGGATGGACAAAGCACAGAAAGCTAAACTGTTGTATCTCTATAACAACTAGGCATGGTGTACATTTGCAACAGTGCATTTTTCATAACATTTTCTTGGACAATAAAAGATAAAGTTTAAGAATACTGTGCTCATATGCATAGAGCTTTTTAAGGAACCTAAACATGGAGGAACACATAAATTTAAATGAATAGTATTTTAATTCCATCCTTCCTGCAGAAAATTTAGTGTGGCTATATATATTGCTTCTTTGATTCATACAAAAGCCTTGTAAGGTACTTTAGGCACAAAGACATCAACTTGTCCAAAGTCATCTCATGAGCTTTGAGGCTGAGCAGGAACTTGAAATCGGGTTACCCTATTCTAAGGCTACTTTCAGATGTCTGTTTGATTCTGAAACATACACCATCCTACCTCATTTACTGAATCTTAATATGGGTCCCAGTAATGTCACTTAATCTTCCATTTGTAATCTTCCATATGCTCCTTCTAACTTTTCTCTTTACACACACACAATTGTTGAAAACAAAGTTTAAAGACAAGTTTAGGAGATGTCCGTCTGGAAGCATCCCAAGTCCACACATATACGGTACTACTTAACCCATCTGACAGACGACAGATAATACATCATTATTATAGCATCCCACCCAGCTTTGCTCGTTGTTGTTTAGTCGTGTCTGACTCTTCGTGATCCCATGGACCAGAGCACACCAGGCCCTCCTGTTTTCCATTGCCTTCTGGAGTTTCATCAAATTCAAACTCCAGGATGATCCAGCTTTGCTAGATTCCCTAAAACTAGGGATGATTCCAGAGTCCATCAGCTTCGACCCCCGCCAATCAAAAGGCACTGTACAGCTACTTCACTTTTTCTTCCTCAACAGATTCTTTTATACCAGCCGTGGGGAGGGCAAAAGTGGCAGGCAAGCGCAAGAGAGTTACAGATGGAAGATTTTCCAACAGTTTTCCAACTTTATTTGAATTAGGACAGGTCATTTGCACGCCGCAACCTCTTCTGGAAGGGCCCAAAGTTTGGGAGCTAAGAGTGGATCAGGGCCGGAAAACCAGTAGGGCAAAACCACACGTGTGAGGCACAAACGTGATGCCACCTGATGGATCAATGGGTACATCTAGACATGCCTGGTGTTCTGAGTTAGAGCCTTGCCGGGAAGCGCAGAGGCAGAGTAAGCAAAACCAATAAAACCAACCAAATTAAAAAAAAAAATACACTGTGAGGATACGGGGAGGAGGGGAAACCAACTTCTTACATTTCAGCTTCTCACTATGGTGACACTTAAAAAGAGGAGGCTAAAAGCACCGAAACTCATGAGTAACCGTTGTACGGCGGACTACCATTAAAGAGAGTGAGGGGAAAAACAAAGTCTGAGGGAGAAGGCAGCCAGAGGAAAAAAAAAAACGGCCCGGGGCGGCAAACTTCCGCGAAAGAAGGAACCGGGTCCCCTCGCACAGCACACAGGGCAGCCTGCTCGTAAGCCCAGGCCTTAAAAGAGTTGTTGGAGGGGGGGCATAAGCAGACCCACCTGTTGCAGGGAGGAGAAGAAAGCCAAAGGTTGCCACTTCCGCCCTCCTTCGAGGCGCCTCACCGACTGCCGGGTGGAGGGGGCGCGAGACCTCCGACCACGCCTCGTCTCGAGCACCGCTCAATCGGGCGCTGACATTTCCACGAAGCCACTCCCCCTTCCCAGAGGCTCTCCTCCCTCCTACCCCCCCACCCCCCTCGGGCGCCGCAGGTCTAGAAAGGAAGTGGAAGCTCTCAGCAGCCGGAAGAGAGGAGCGGCGCGTGGAGCAAAATGGCTGAAAGGAGTGGACCACGCCCCGTCTTTCTTGAGAAAAACCACTGAGACGCCCACCCCTCTTTTCGGCGGGGAGGGTGACGTCACGCACATTCCGGACCCTTTCCTCCTCCCCCGCCCCCTCAAGACCTTCGATGCGTCTTCGCTTTCTTTCCTTCTCTTTCTGATTGGGGCCCCTCCTTTGCATCGCGATTGTTTGCCGTCGGGAGAGATGTCGGTCGAAGTGGACTTGTCCACAAAACCTCACATTTTAAAAAAAATGTAAAAGTTATATCTTTAAGGCGTCACCAAGTGTTTGTCTTTTTTTCCCCCCAGATGTTTTGCTTTTACCTACTGTATATAAAAAAACGCAGCTGTCTCTTGAATGTGCGGTAGGAAAAAGTGTATAAAATTTATATTTTTCCTCGGGTTGTGAGGGGGGTGATATGTATTCCCGCCACTGCTGGTAACAAAAGCAAATATTTTTAAAAGACGAACTTTGATCCACTTGGATAGGTAGTAGCTACAAAATAATAAGGTGAGACTCCGGTATGTGCTGAGGATTACAGTACTGTAGTTTCAAGGCTCGGTGGATACTGAAAACAGTGGATAATAGCAAATGCTATAAATGTGTGTATTATGTGATTTGATTTCTATACTGTCCATCTGACTAGTGCTTGATCTGGGTGGTTCACAACAGTGCTAATAACAGTCACATAAAACTCATAATCAAAGTGCATTATACTAAAGCAACTAAGTTGGAAGAACATTTAAAAACATTGTTTAATTCTTTTAAAATATTTGTATACTTTGTTTTTAGCTTTTAAATATTACTTTTAATGATATAAGCTCCTTTGATCATTTTAAAGGAGAAAGGCAGGGTAAAAGTGTTTTAAATAAATTCATGTATAATTTATCCACTTTTTGCCAGTGATGGAGAAGAGTTGGGTTCTTTTGAAGAGAAAGGTGGGATATAAATATATATACTCAACCTTTCAGCCTTTTGAGATTTTATCAAGCAGGACCCATACATGTTTGAGATTAATTAATGAAATGGAGAAGAAGAAAGAGCTTAAAATGGTATGTTTATATAAAGAGTCAGAGAGAGAGTAGGGCCCCCTTATCCATGGGGTTAGTACCCACCAATTAACTTATCCATGCTACAAAAATATTAAACAAATTCAGAGGGAAAAAAACCCGAGAAAAAGCTATTTTCACATGTATTACCAGAACCAGCCACTAGATGAATACTTGTTAGTGAACAATACATAGCATGATCTCTGCCTCTCTCTAGTGGCCAGCTCTGGGAATGCATGTGAAAATATTTTTCTTGTTTTTCCTTTTACCATTTTAAATGTACAGTATAACCTCGTATGTGGTTAATAGCAAATGCTATCTATCTATCTGTCTGTCTGTATGGCTAGCATTTGCTATTAACCACAGTTTTGAGTATCCACAGTGGGGCTTGGAGCCCATCCCCAGTGGATATGGAGATCCTATTGTACTGTTATATTTATTAAAAGTAAATAAGTCCTATGGGGAGGCAGGGCGGGGACAAAGCAAACCTACTACAGTGTAAGGCAATCATGCCATTCTAGAGCATGTTTGTTTAAAAATACAGCACTGGCCAAAACTATTGGTAGGTGGAAGAAGCCTACTGACGAGAGGAGTGTGCACCACTGGCTCAACCCACAAAATGGTTGTGGACACATCTATGTCACATAAGATGTTGCCTTATTCCTCTGTGCTAGGAGGTACAGGATACTTCAGGATGAACTCAGAGCTTTTTGCCACCTGAACAGGGAAATATGTTTTGATATCACAAAGGATTTTGGGGTGTTCTCTCTCTCTCTCTCTCTTGGAAACCTGGATGTCCCAAAAACAAGCTGAGAATCTCAACAGGTGTAATGCTTTGAGCACTATTGCCTTATGAAGTATATATGATTGTATGATCTGTAGCAGAGGAAGACAATTACTTAATGGTAAATAGAGAGGAGTTCATTTTAATGGTCCCCTATGGCTACATCCCACAACAGAAGAGCTCAAAAGTTTAAACAGTTCTGTTCAGCCATATCAACAAATCTGTTCCAGCAGTTTCATAGCCAGCAGTATTTTGTAAAATAAATGGATCTTAGTTGTTTATTCAATATCAAGTCACCCCAAAACATCAAAGAGTCGTGGCACTTTGTTGCAGAAAATATAATTTCCCCTCTGCTCCTGTGAGGATTACAGTTACAGTGAGAGGGAACATAGAAGCTAGGAGTGGCAGTACCAGAGAACATCCTTGTCCTTGTTAACCAAGCAGTCCCAGCCCAAACGCTACTGTAGCATTCACCGTTATACAATAAGTTATGTATTATTCATGAGTTATATGCTAATATGGTTAAGAGGTGGGGCCAAAAGATGTTAAAAGTCGGAGCCTGGAAGAGGAGGAGTCAGTCAGAGTCTGAGTTCAGTCTGTGGGAGAGGAGGAGTCGAGTCTGAGTTCAGTCTGTGTTAGGAATCAGAGAGAGGAGGATAGTTTGGGGTCTGATTAGTCCGAGTGTAAACTGTGTTAATTACTATAGAAGGTTAATATTGAAGCTTGATGAAACTTGAAGAATGTGCTTATGAATTGTTCCAGAAACCAACTGTAATCAATAAACCTGTTCTATTAAAAAGTCAGTACTGAATGGACCTTCATCCATTTAGCGAGATAAACAGGCCATGAGGGCGATCGCCACAACTTTTTTCATACTATTGGAGGAACTATTAGGCAGCGTGTCAAGAGGTGTTTTAGTTTGCCTTTGTGAGCTGTGTGTTTAGCGAGACAAACGGGCCATGAGGGCGATCGCCACTTTTTTCATACTATTGGAGGAACTATTATATTGGAAACGCTGTGTTAACCCTTCACGTTCTCCCTAAAATTCTGTTTTGTGTTCATTCAGACATGGTTTACTAACTCCTCCAGGTGGTGCTCTGGGTCTGTGCAAAATGCCTAATGCTAGTTCAGATCTTAGGGCAAGTAACATGCTCTGTATGATTTGGGCTAATTTCTGTTCCAGAAGACACAGTGAAGAATCAAACTCTGGGCCCAAAACTAGGCACTTCAACCCACAGACCAATTATACTCCCAGATATTTACAAGGACAGAAAAACATGGGGATGACCATAAGGTTTTGGAAATGGCACACAATGGAGTCCGGAGAGGTTGCCACAGTTGAGGATTTCCAAGGTACAATGGCACAGGGTTGGACAAGGCCCCACGTCTGTGTCCAACCTTCCAAAAAGACACTTCCACTCCCCTGTTGTTCTTTTGACATAGCTGGAGGATGTCCTGGCAAATGGTAGCCAGCACTGGTGGTGACTCCATGTGATTACCAAGCAACCAGAGCCACAAGCCTCTCTATTCCACTGTGGAAGCTCTCAGTTGTGACATCATCTTAGACCCAGCCCTGGGTCCAGGGCCACAGAATTTCTGTAATCGGTGGTAGCCATGTACATATATATCTGTAGGTCTAATTTTATAGCCAGTGGGTGGATGTGCTTAACACTTCAGGCTTGACATGACACTCCTACTTTTGGAGCTGTGATATATAATGATCTGAATTACAATAAGGGTAGTGGTAGATTATTGTGTTGCACATTTGGGGAATTAAATCTTAATGGCCTGCCTATTTTATCTCTCCACTCCAAAAAGACACTTCCACTCCAACTTTTGGAGCTGTGATATATAATGATCTAAATTACAATAAGGGTGGTGGTAGATTATTGTGTTGTACATTTGGGGAATTAAGTCTTAATGGCCTGCCTATTTTATCTCTCCAGGTCTTTAACAAAGTACTGTCATACATCACTGGGACTTAGTTAAGCCTAAGTAATAGCTTATTATTTAGCCTTTATTAAGGAACATGGAAAAGGAGAAGATAGCCCTTTTAAAATATGTTTGCACAAGGCCATGTATAACTACCATAACTGGCTCTCTGCATAAAGAAGGCTCACATTTTTTTCTGTCGGAAACAAATTGTTGCCTTTGAATGAAAGAAACAGAGTTAATATTTTACAAATGTAATAAATTTATTATAAAAAAATAAACTAACACCTCTGCCTCCCCCCAAATCCTTTGTAAACATAATTAGGTAATTATTGTTTACCCAAGAACTATACACCATCTGATAGATGCTGCTTCCTAAAAAATGAATCCAAATCGAAACATTTTCTAATATAATGTGCTTTAGGTGAGGAAAGTTGTCCTTCCAGATCACAGAGAGGAAAACCACGACATGTGTCAAATAAGCCTCCAACGGTCCTATTCTCCATCCATGCTCAGATCTGACAGAATCTCCTCTTCTCCTATGGGGTTTTGGGCTGAGAGGGACAGGTCAGTCACCTGGGAAGAAAAGGGAGAGCTTCTTGGTTACTCTGCAAAAAATGGCAAAACAGTTACAGTAATTCCTCTCTGTATAGGGAGTAAAGCTGTTTTGCTGACTCAGAGCAGGGCCCCTCAGTCATTCTAGAAGGGCCTAGTACAGAATATCTAATACTACCCACTCCTACACATGTGCCACAATCTAATTTCAAATCCCTCCTACCAGAGAGGTCTCCTTTCTGTCTATTACAAGGGAGGCTGGGGGTGGCTTTTTTTGAGAGAGAGAGAGAGGGAGAGGGAGAGGGGGGGGAGGAGAGAAGAGAGAGAGCAGGAGAGGAGAGGAAAGAGAGAGATGAGAGGAGAGAGGAGGGAGAGAGAGCAAGAGAGGGGAGAGGAGGGGAAGAGAGAGAGGAGAGCAGGAAAGAGGAGAGAGAGAGGAAAGAGAGAGAGAGAGGAGAGATACAGAGAGAGAGCAAGAGAGAGGAGAGGAGAGAGAGAGAGGAGGGAGAGAGAGAGAGCATGGCAGAAAGGGAAGCCTCTACAAGTATCAACCTTAGTTGAGCCATGCAACTGCACTTCTTTTCTAGGGAAGGCCATACAAATGCAAGAGCAGATGATACCTAATTAATCTATCACTTGCTCTTGCACTTGTCTTGTTTGCGGGATCACACGGCCTTTTTCTAATTTTTTCTGAACTAGCGGAAGCCAGTAGCTCTCTATGAATGATGCTGTTTGTTCTGTGCTAACCTCACACAGATCATGGGAATACACTCCTATTTTATTGTGAACATACAGGTTAGAATACATTTTTCACATGATGCAGACACAGAAGAAGATAATATATTCTGCGGAGAATATGTTTCTCTCCTCCTACATGAGCTTAGCCTCCAGTTTTCTCATATTTGTAGCTGGCTTGTAGCCTAGATCGGCAGACTCTGATAAAGTGTAACCATGGGAGATACAGGGAGATACAGGGAGCCCTTTTGATCAGATCTTGGCTCCTTGTGCCAACGGGGCTGCTTGTCTGAGGAGAAAATTACAGATCAGTGGAGCAGACATTTTACCACAACAGCTATCAGTCCTCTTCATCTAAGAAATCAAGTAATACTGGAGGGCCAATTTGGTACTAATGAGGCATACAGTGTCCACACTGGCATATAATTAGGATACAGTGGTGCCTCGCTTAACGAGTGCACCGTATAGCGATGTTTCCGTATAGCGATCCCTTTTTCGGGATCGCTATACGGAAACATACCCGATCGTCGCAATGGGGAAAACCTGCATTGCGAAGATCGGGTATTGCGGCGGCCATTTTGGAGCCGCCGAACAGCTGTTCGGCGGCTCCAAAACCCGGAAATGGCTGGCGGCCGGCGGGTTCACGCCCCGGCCCGGAAGCCTGGAAATGGCTGCCAGCAGCCGTTTTCGCGCCCTGCCCTCGCTTAGCGAAGGCGCGAAAATGGCTGCCGGCAATTGGAATCCTCGCTGAACGGGTAAGTAAGAAAGGTATTAGAATGCATTAAACTAAGTTTAATGTGTTTCAATACATTTCCCCTACCCGTTTAGCAACGATTTCGCATAGCGAGGGTTAATCCGGAACGGATTAACCTCGCTATGCGGGGCACCACTGTATATGGATCACTGATGGCACTGTTTGGCACATTAAAAATACCTCATCCACTTGTGTTTCTACTCAGAATGATCTGCCCTTGCCCTTTAAGATTTGTCCCACACCTTTCTGACACAGGGCTAGGGCATGCATTTTTTTGGCACAATTCAGCATGATCCAAAATAGTTCTTTGTTTAGCCTGCACAAATGGGTACCTTGAACCAAAATAGCACCGGGGGTGTTGTTAGCTATGGTGACAACCCTGTTCCATATTAGCTGGTGGGGCTGATCAGCTGAGAGGGTTTTACCAGCTTTGATTGGCTTCAAGATTGAAACAGTCCTTTAAAATGTTTGCAGTGCTTCCCTTAGAAATGACACTTCACAATTAGGCAAGCCTGGCCACCACCATATTCTTGCCTGCCACCTTACCTCTCCTCTTCCCCTATCCCCAGTGCTATTATAAACCCCTCCATTTTCTTTCTGAAGCCCCAGTTCCTTTAGCCATCTGAGTAAGTCAATGGAAGACGAGGCATTGCACACACACCCCCGATACTTTGTGCTGCATAGCTAGAGATTTTTTAGCCAGAAGTCACTCTCTGCCAAGAAAAACAGAATTAGACATGATGGTGTCTGAAATGTGGAATATTTAGAGCGATTTGGAACCAATGGTCATTCTACATCTCTCTGACCCATTAACATATATTAGCACAGTGATTTATTATGAGGAGGAGGCTATCCCATTCTCCTCTACATAATAACCCATTTGTCTTATACTCCACCAGCCTCCAAGGTACCTGCCTGCATTCGGTCTGGGAACCTGACATAGACTCATGAACAGAAAATGCCATCAGATCATCAGTTGAATTTCAATTCTAATTAGAACAACTTATTTCTGTTCACTCTTTCCAATTCATATGAAGCCACAACATCCATCAACAAAGATTTTGAGATCAAAGCGATGTGAGTTCATGCCAATATATTTGATAAATGTCTCAATTCACCTGGACAAGACCTTTGAGGTCCTCGTCTGTTAAACAGTCAATGAGGTCCTCCTGAGGAGAGCTGTACTCCACTGCTACCTTCCCATTTTCTGAAACGGGAGAAAAGGCCAAATTTGAACCAATGAATTATAAAAGAATGGATTAAAAATATTTTGAAACACACTTGACATTTACAGTAGGACTCCCATATCCATTGGGGATTAGTTTCAAGCTCCCCGCAGACACTGAAAACTGTGGATAATAGCAAATGCTGTATATTTACCATGATAAAAGGGGGGGGGGAATCAATAAAAATATTTTCACATGCTTTACCAGAACTGGCCAATAGATAGAGCCAGAGATCATGCTACTGTATGTATTATTCACTAACAAGTATTCATAGCATGGTCTCTGGCTAGTTCACAAGGATTCATTGTTCATACCAGTTACACAAATGTAAATGCTACTTCCACTGAACTTAAAAAAATTAATGAATGTGACCAACAGCAAACCTAAAAATAGAAATGGAAGTAGAAAAATAGAAATAGATGTTAGAAGTAGCATCAATGCTAATGGAGCAGAGATGAACATGAAGGAAAATACAGAAACTTACATCAAGAACATCTGACACAAAATTACAGAAGCAAAAAACCCCTAATGCTCCCAATATTGTACAGAAATAGAACACCTAAACAAGATCCATAGCTCCTACAATGTGCATAAAATATCAAAGTACAATATATTTTTAAAATGACAATGTTCACTACTGACTGGTAGGACTTCTCTAATACTTGATGTCAAGGGTATAATTACAGCATGGATTAATTAAATAGCTGTTTAAAGATAAGAGAACAACAAAAAATGGTAGACATCCATACTAGACAAGAGATACAGAAATTCAATAAAGTTATAAAAAATTTAAAGGCACAACTCTAGAACTTAATGCTTTAGCAAAAGCATTAAAGCTGATTAAAGATGAATACTTAGATGTGTTAAGAGTAATATTTTCAGTCAATCATGAATCTTTCCTGAGCATTGGCTAAAATCTACCTTTATTATGTCCAAGGCAAAAAAAAGGTCTTTATACAACATATATTTGTATAATTGCAAATATACAAATTGAAAATAGAAATCTGCAATGAAAGTTGAAGACCTCTGAAAGTGAAGATGATAAAATATAAACAAAATATATTAGCCAGAATCCTACTGAACATTTAGTGGCTGAAGACAAATTGTTGCTAATTAACAAGTTGTTACTTACCTTGCTGATCATGTGCCAAGTTGCACTATTGGCATGTGACCTGAATGCAAATAGCAGCTCATTAATTAGTAACATTTCTACTGAGATTTACATGATCACACTTCTGCTGGTATAAATCTACAGTGGGATCCTAGCCAAAGAGGAATATATATATTATGGATATGTACTTCTGCTACTGCTTTTCAGTCTGTACCTTAATGAAGCATTTCTTGAATCAAATAATGGTATTAGTAATAGAGAAACTATCTACAATAGCAGATATACAGAGAATATTACTCACTAGCTTATTGTTAATATGCTGTACAGAGGCTGTTCAGAAAAGCCTATGTAAAAAATAATGAATTTGGTCCAAAAATGAATGTTAAAAAAAACAAGTTCATGGCATTCAGTAAAAAGCAAACAACTCAAGAAATACAGGTAAAGATCCAAAATATAAACAGTAGCATATAAGTACTTTGGAATTTGTGTAAATGAACTGTAAATCATAAATAAAGACCACAGCCATGCAATGAAATCCAGATTTGAGTTGATCCAGCGCAGCTTCTTTAAGATGAAGAATATAGGAAGGAAAAAAGCCTTAAAATTGGCTCTGAGGATGTTCATTAAATAGTAGCATATATCTTCTCATTTCTACTGTATGGAATAGAATAATGGACTTTTAAAAATGCAACTAAAAAAAGAAAGAAGCACTTGAAGTGAGGATTTATTGCTGGATGCTAGGATTGAGAAGGTGACCAATGAAGGTTAGGCATCCTTCAGTCTTGAGAGACTATGGTAACGTGCTCTGTATGAGTGTCCTCTCCAGAGCACGAAGCCTGGGTAAAATAATATGGAAGATAGGCTGTTACCCAAGCAGCAAATCCCCCCTCTCCACGTCGCTGAAATAGTCCAATGGAAAGGCAAGAGCCAATACAACTGGTTCCAGTGACATCACAGGAGTTGCCAGAATGACACGAACTGCCTCTGGGACTCCTGCTCTGGATTTTGCCTCAAGGTTAACGCCTGAAGCCTTTTCCATCAGTGGATATAGCCACAAGACAGTAGAGGTTTGAAGTCAGAGTTCTCCTAGAAGGAGCTGCCTTCCAAGGCTCACGAGCCCCACCTATCCGGACCAATGAAGATTTACTAAGGGAAATGAATAATGACCATGACTTATCATGTCACCTGAACTGACGGAAGTCTGGTTAATATTAGCTGTGTAGGTCAAATAAACCAACATTTAATTATTACGAGACCAACCCTAGCATCAAGTGAATGTTCTGGCAGAATTATATGCTTTACTACATAGAACAGTCTCTGGTTGCTTTCATCTCCCATCCAATAGATTATCACATAAGAACCAATCAAAGGTTTTGCTTTTTTTAAAAAAAGAAGATGGCCCTACCTAAAACTATGAAGAGAATCTTCTGAAATGCATCTGAGAGGGCTCGATGCACTGCAAGCTTCTGGATGTTGTGAATCGCTGTAACAAACTCTAAAAGACAAAATCCAATATGGAAGCAGATTGATTCAAAATATGTTTGCAAAATATATTTTTGCACATTTACAAAATTCATTTCAATTGAGGAAATTTTTGTGGACAACTGTAAAGAATAGCCCCAGTAATTTGCCTTTCCGAAAGTTAATGTCTCTTGGTCCTAAAACTGTAAAGGACATTCCAAAGCAGAAAAGCTATGTTGGACCTAAAAATAAAGTTTGATCCAATGAAATTCTGTCTACACTGTAATCTGTTGTGCTACAAGATGCTGGGTCAGCAGGCTTGTACCAGTGTCACAGAAATACACCTTGGCCTTGGAACTGGAAGATTTGGGTTAAAATCTTTCTCGGTCATGGAACCTGCCACCCATGATATTGTGAGGCTTAAAGTAGGAAAGAATAAAACCAAGTCAACTGTCCTGACCTTTTTGGAGGAAATGTACAATAAGCTTATGTATCCAAGCCCATTTCTTTTCTGCCTACCCATCGTACAGCCCAAGGCACCAAACAATTGTGAACAAAAAATACCATAAGACAATTAGCACACTGAAAAACAACAAAACAATGACAAAAATCAGACAAAATAAGAATACAGTACCAATACTAGATCAAATTATCAGAGATTGTAGATTTTATTTTTATAGACTACAGCTCTCTAAACCCACCAGCCAATACACCCACTAGCCTGGTTTGAGTGAAATTTGAATGTACAGAGTTTATTTTCTTCTTTTTCTCCTCTCCCTCCCCAGCTCCAGCCCTGGAAGACACTATTTCAGCCTGCAACTTGGGAGCAGGATTATGTTTAAATGGTAAGTCATGCCCGCCCCCAGATTTATGGGAATGCAAGTTTCCAGCTGAGGCATAGATATAGTTCCTAGACTATAAGAATATGTCCTCTGCTTTAGGAGGTTTTAAAAAACACAATAAGGAGGGTGCTGGGAAGAGCTGGGAATTCTAGAAGGTTGGTACTGTAACAATGAAAATCCTCAAATGTATTTCTACTAAACAAGCCTTTAGCTACAGCAGTTTGCATAGAAAAGCCTCCTCAACTAGTCTTAGCATTCAGGTGGGTTTGCTGAAGAGTAGATAGTCCTTTAGATATCCTTGCCCCAAATTACTTAAAGGCACTAGGAAACCCTTGAATTTAATTCAGAAAGAGATTGATACTAGTGGACTTCAAACAATAGAGAAAGCAGATTTCCCAGAAGACACCTGATCAAAATGTTGAGCCATTTTCTACTTGCAAACGCCATTCAATCAAGGGCAGCTGGCCTACATATGCAGGTATAGGTCATTATAATTGCTCAGACAAGAGGAAACTAAGATGTTTGTCATTTTTTGAGGAAAAGCATTGTACTTTAAACAAATAAATAAGCCAGATCTGCTTCTTCAAGGCATGGACAGTATTGCTGTACCAGTCTAAGCTGGGCAAAGGAAGTATAACTACAACTACCATCAGCAAGTCTCCTAGGAAATCTAGGTCAAGATGTGCCCCCAGTATATCTTAACTCCTTAAAGAAAGTGCAAACCTACCCTAAGCAGGTGACAACCATACTCTTGATAAGCAGTCTCATTAACTATATCAACGTTCCCCAACTAAGCGCCTTCCAACTACCATCAACCTCACTGAGCAATGCTATTGGCCATGCTTGCTGAGATTTATGGAAGTTGTAGTTCACCACACTGGGTTAGGAGAGTGAGAACGTAATAAACCACACTACTACCATAATATTTCCCTGCTTATTTAATTCTAACACTGCTTTCTCTTCCTTCTTAATTATTACCTTGGCTGGGATCCACCTGAAGCTCCGCCACACCAACACCTCTGGTGCAGACCCCATGTTGGGAGATGGTTAATTCTTGGATACACAGGTACTTTGAATATTGGCTGCTGTGTGAGGTTCTCGTTTCTTCCTCTTCATTTTCACCCTCTTCAAAACCAGATATATTCTGGAGCTGTTTTAACAGGGATTGTGAGAGCAATGTGAAGAAATATGAAGCCAAATCTCCTCCTTCTCAAAATGCCAGGCCACGCAAGTCTCATGTACTCTGTATGACAATATTGCAAAAATGCTGCTGCAATGTCACCAGTAGTAACCATTGATCCCCCATCACCATATTTATGCACAAAGAAAAGGGTTCCTCCTCTTTGCTTAGTTCTTTTGCACAGTTTTTCAGGCAGTATTGAGAAACGTTATTTTTGGCGGAATACAGTTCCTCTTACTGGCCACGTCGGCTATGAGATTCTAGCGACAGTATTCAAAAACATAATGTTCCCTATCTACAGTTCCATATGTCTTCAGGCACAAGAGCCAGTCTCAAATTTTGTGACAGAAGTACTGACAGAAAGCAGTCCTCTTTAACCCAGAGCAAGGATAGCATGATTCCCTCTTCTCACTTGTGGCTCTGGAGACACTCAGAAGCTGAGGGAGATTTTCAGTGTACCTGAGCATCTCCTGGGCCAGTGCAAAGGGAGAGGCTGACTTCTCCATTCCCACATGCCCCCTGGACCCATCACTGAAACAAGCCCCCCCAAAAGGCATTGCAGTGGTTAAACCATTTATATGCCCATTTCAAGAAGCAGTAGGGTTCTATTTCTTCCTGAGAAGCAATGAGATAACCCCTCCACAACTTCAAGCCTATACACTTGCAATGGATAGGTAAAGGTAAACATTCCTTTTGACATTTAGTCCAGTCGTGTCCGACTCTAGGGCGCAGTGCTTATCCCCGTTTCCAAGCGATAGAGCCAGTGTTTGTCCGAAGTTTCGGTGGTCACATGGTCAGCGCGACTAGACACGGAACGCTGCTAACTTCCCACTGTGGTGGTACCTGTTTATCTACTTGCATTTGCATGCTTTCGAACTGCTAGGTTGGCAGGAGCTGGGACAAGCGACAGGAGCTCACTCCATCGCGTGGATTCGATCTTACAACTGCTGGTCTTCTGACTTTGCAGCACAGAGGCTTCTGCAGTTAAGCTGCAGCGCCATCACATCCCTATATTGCAGTGGATAGCTATTTACAAATCAGATAAAATTAGTTTATCATTTCTCATATGAAGTAAAATCCTAAACTGACACCAGGAATCAACAATTGGCAAACTTTAGGAATACATTAATCAGAAACGGGCTACTGATTAATTTTCTCATTCACTCTTGGAGTAACAATAGATGGGAAATGCAACACCCCTAATGAACAGAGGCATGAAAATGGGATGGGGTGGGGGAGAGAATGAAAACAACAGGTCATCCTTACAGTGATGATGCGACTGGACCAGCCATTGAAACCAAGGTAGTAATTGGCTAAATCTTTGCATTTGTTACTATTCAGAGCCAAAACTTGGTCTGGAAAGGCCCGTTGTCTGGTACACATGGAAACCTGGAAATGCAAGAAAAGGAAAGAAAGGTGTCCTACATTAGGGAGGTCATCCTGACTGGAGGATTCCCGGAGTCACAGCCCCCCAAATTAATTTTTTCTAAGCTCTCATTCAGAGATGCACTGCTTCTGAATATGAAACTTACATGCAACCCATCATGAATCCTGTATTTTGAAAAATCTGACCCCCAACCATGGATATGTCTAACCTTTTTAAAAAGTATATGAAATAGTGGTCATCACACCTTGTGGTAATGAACTGGATAAATTAATAATAGATGAATACAGATAATTAGAAATGGGGGTATTCGTATACAAATACGAATATCCCCACACAGATGGCGATAACAAGGGTCTAGCACCATGGGGCCGGACGGTCCACTCACCAATCCACCGCTACTGCTGATGCAGTGATTCTTCCAATGGCTTCGCAGATCGCGATTGGCTAGCCACTCCTGGCAGGAGGTAGGAGGACAAGCCTCACTGCAAGGTTGAAGAGTGGCTCACGATCTGAAGAGACATTGGAAGAATCCCATGGAGCTGGACCCTCATTATCGCCACCTTTGCCAGGATATTCATATTCATATACAAATACGAATACCCCCCATCTCTACACGATTCATTAGATCCTTCAGTGTGAACCTAACCACTTTGTAAACCACTTAATTGCATTGTCCCAGCAGCATGTGATTAGGAAAAAGCCGTTACTGTACTTCTGCATGTTATCAAACATTTAATCAATAACTCATTCCAATATATTTTTGTTGCTGATATCAATCTGACAGATATGTGGAGCTATATAGTTAATATCTATCAGGGCAGGCTCTGCCATTAGGCAGAGCGAGACAACTGCTTCAGATGGCAGGTGCTGGGTGTGGAAGAAATGGCACAGAGGACAGCTTGGTGTACCACAGACCATTTTTACCTTCTCTGTATTGCCCTGTCTCCAGGAATGACAAGAGATGCTGTGCTGCCATCAATGTTGAACTCAGATTCAATTGCTACTGCAATTGGCTTCTGACACAGGTTGCCTTCATTTCAGACAGCCAGATGCCTTGCACTGGCCTTTGTACCACACAACTGAAAGGTTTTTTTTTTAAAGATCCCGTAACAAATGGTAGTCTACTGAGAATATCTCCAGCTCAAACTAGACAGGTTAGTTAGCAGAGCATTAAATGTGGAACCTGTTTAAGAGGTAAAAGACATCTGTTTGCCCTCATACAAGCTCATCACTCTACCTGCTGCAAATTAGGCTATGATCACACAATGGAATTGTTTCCTACTTACCTTAACATAAATTTGCGGTCACATGACACCATGCCATTAGCAATTCATTTTTCCAGCCAGCGGTGTAACTATGGTTCAACTCCTCCTTGCCAGGAGGCGTCTGTTTATTATTTCAGTGGTGTTTCAATATATTCCTTAGTGGTATGGCATGTGTGTACAATCCTATCAATACTTTTGCAAAACAAATTCACCAGGGAAGGCAGCTGCTATTACTGTCATGTGGCTGCCCTTCTATAATTTTTTTAAATTTCAGCAGCCAGAGTATCAATATGTTGGTAAACTTCTGTCAACAATTTTAAAGGCATTGACAGGCATTGCCTCACTCCCCCTACTGTCTGGCAAGCAGAACAGCCCTGAGTAGGTGTATCAGATCCATTGAGTGCAATGCATTGCTTCCAGAGGGGCTGGCGCAACAGAGGAAAATCTACCCATCAGGAAATAGTACCCAACGTATCGATGTACCATTTAATTTTTTTAAAAAAATTAAGTTAAGCAGTTGCAGTGGCCCATAAAACAAGAGACAATAAACTGATACCACAATGCAGCCAGCCATAATGATTAAAACTGAAGAAAATGAAACAGAAACTTTAAAACACATTGGGATGCTCATCCAGGTATATATACCACATGACTGGGATGGATTACGACAAAGGTATGGAAAGTATTATTAGAAGTGGGGAACATTCTCTGGTGTGACCATGGCCTTAGCTTGCTTTGTTTTGTGACTGATGAACAAGAATAAACATGGCCTTAATTTGCAAGGCTAGCTGCTAGGCAATGGCTGGAGGAAAAATCTTGTTATAATGAGAAATAGGCATTTCTTCAACATGTGATTTGATTTAATCTGTGTATTGATTAAAAGCATTTCTAATGGCCGAAAAACAGAGAAAATATTACTTTTGATATAATTTAACCATGAAAACATGCAACAACTACTTTACAGGTTCTTCAGGTGTTAGGAATGACACAGTTTTAAATGATGCAGTGATATACCTTCAAGGGGGATTTCTGAAACAGAGGCTGCTGGTTACATGTGCTTTGTGCTCTTCTGGCATCTCTAGCTGAGTAGAACTTGACAAAAGCATGATAGCCGGGCCCAGCAACTGAGGCATTTCTGTGAACCCTCACAGAATAGACAAGTCCAAATGTAGAGAATGTTAAATATAGAGCATGCTGAAGGGAAAGAGACAATGAAAAATCAACAAAAAAAAATAATAAAGTTATTTGAAAAACAATAGGTGCATTTGTGAAACAGCCAGAAAATTCACTGTGTGGGGCCAAACAGTGCATTCCATATATGGGTTGAACTCATGAAGCAAAATCAGACCACTCTTGCAAAGGACAATCTCTTAAAGACTCATGGCATTCAAACAATGGAACGGTGCAAGGGCAGAGTAGCAAGACAGTGCTGCTTTACTTCATGTTAATCAAGTGTTCCTACAACATATTGGTGGATTGAGTTTTGTATTCATCGACAGAAGGAAATTGACACCTGCTTGTCTCATGTTATCAGCACTGTGTAGGCCAAGCTTGGCTGAAACTTCCTTGTGAAGAAAAGTGCTATTTAGACTTCCATCAGTCCAAGTCTTGTTGTGGTTCAGTGATAGACAAAGTTGCATATGCTCAGAATACAACTTTTTAAAATGACTTATTTAAACAATTTGCTGTACCATCATGTTCGGTTTGGAGGTTATGTCTCATACAGAATTGCCTAACTTAATCATAGTTCATAAGCCCTTCTTTTGAAACAAACCATTCTCATCTAACAAAATCAATTAATTATAGTACTTAGATTTTAATTATTGTGAGCTGCCTTGAGTCCCTTTATGGGAGAAAGGTGACATAGAAATTAAATAAATAAATACATAAGTATACAATTGTCCATCTAATCTATTTTGTTGTTGTTGTTTAGTTGTTAAGTCGTGTCCGACTCTTCGTGACCTCATGAAACAGAGCACGCCAGGCCCTCCTGTCTTCCACTGCCTCCCTGAGTCAAATTCATGTTGGTAGCTTTGATGACACTGTCCAGCCATCTCGTCCTCTGTCGTCCCCTTCTCCTCTTGCCTTTCCCAACATCAGGGTCTTTTCCAGGGAGTCTTCTCTTCTCATGAGATGGCCAAAGTACTGGAGCCTCAGCTTCAGGATGTCCTTCCAGTGAGCACTCAGGGCCGATTTCCTTCAAAATTGATAGGTTTGTTCTCCTTGCAGTCCAGGGGACTCACGAGTCTCCTCCAGCAGCATAATTCAAAAACATCAACTCTTTGGTGGTCAGGTTTCCTTATGGTCCAGCTACTGGAAAAACTATAGCTTTGACTATACGTACTTTTGTTGGCAAGGCGATTCTCTGCTTTTTAAGATGCTGTCTAGGTTTGTCACTGCTTTCCTCCCCAGAAGCAGGCGTCTTTTAATTTTGTGGCTGCTCTCACCATCTACAGTAATCATGGAGCCCAAGAAAGTAAAATCTGTCACTGCCTCCATATCTTCCCCTTCTATTTGCCAGGAGGTCATGGGACCAGTGGCCATGATCTTAGTTTTTTTGATGTTGAGCTTCAGACCATTTTTGTGCTGTCCTCTTTAACCCTCCAGGTGCGCCCACAGCTGAGCGTCCTTTCGGCTTTGGCCCAACCACTTCATTAGCTCTGGAGCTACTTGTTCTTGTCCTCCACTATTCCTCAGCAGCATGTTGGATGCCTTCCGACCTAAGGGGCTAATCTTCCAGCGTCATATCTTTTAGCCTTTTGTTTCTGTCCATGGAGTTTTCTTGGAAAAGATACTGGAGGGGCTTGCTAGTTCCTGCTCCAGCTGGATCGCATTTAGTCAGAACTCTTCACTATGACCTGTCAGTCTTGGGTGTCCCTGCACAACATAGCCCATAGCTTCTCTGAATTACTCAAGCCCCTTCGCCACAACAAGGCAGCAATCTGTGAAGAGGTCTAATCTATTAGGCTGCTCCAACTCAAGAAATTAATTAGTAATTTTAATTGAATTAATGATTAAATTGCTTATATATACACACACACACACATAATGCTTATATATAAGCATTAGTTCTGAAGCAAGAAGGATACTTGTTTTGAGACAATGCTGGTTTTATTTTAGAAGACGAATTATCTCCCATAAGAAAGAATTGGGGAGGGGGGCTGCCTTTTAAGGTTTTGCTTTATATCTACAGTTATGTCACCACCCTCGCTGCCTAATTATGGGAATACTGTACACACACACAAACCAAAATCTTGGTTGGGTTTCTGTAATAAATTAAAAAGAAAAATAAAATCCTGTGTATCTGCATATTCCAACTATCTCATACCAACTTCTCCCACATTGGTTGGGTTTCTGTAATAAATTAAAACAAAAATAAAATCCTGTGTATCCACATATTCCAACTATCTCATACCAACGTCTCCCACATTAACAAAGGCAATCTAAATTTATTTATTTATTTATTTATTTAATTATTTAATTAATATGCCGCCCACTCTACCCAGAGGTCTTGTGTTGTGGAAAAAGGTTTTCCATTAAGGAGTACTTTAGCATCTTCAGTAATTTTGAGAGAACTAATGTTTTGGCTTGCATAACCTAAGAATGGCCTGTATCATTTTTAAGACTAACAGTTGCATTAGCTTCAATAGAGTTTACTTTTCAGACATATAGAACCACAGCCTTTGCCTACACTACAACTGAAGACGTTAAGAGTTAGGCATAATGCAGTAGGCTGATACAGAACCCGTAAACCGCAAACTGCTCTTAAGTGCAAAGTATATTCGTTTGTATGAGTCTGCGCCTATACATTTGAAATAGGGTGTCTGTTTTGAATAAGCCTTGCGGGTCTGTAACTTCAAATCGTTTGGTTTCTAGCACATGGATACAAAATGCCTTATGTTAGGAACGCTAATAGGAATGCAACGCCTGATCCATTTTAAGGTACATTTGGAGTAAATCGCCTCAGGGCACAATTTTTTGGATGCGTACTTTCTAAACTGCTCTACAATTACGGGCGGAAATGAGTTACTCCAATTTATTACTAGGCAACAAACGGCCGCCTCCAATATCGAGGACTCGTACTTGGCGCCTTCGGCCCGGTTTCCACAGCAGGGTGGAACCTTCGCCTGCGAAAGGCGCTTCCCGGCATAAACGGAGAGGCGAAGTTGGCGCGTCGGCTCCACATCTGAGGGAGGTTTTTCGGGCCATACAAATGTAGTCCAAGCAGGCTGCTTTCCGGAGAAGCACCGGAATTTGAAGCGGTGCCCTTATGTCGGGGTCGGGTAGAAACTTTGTGATCTCACAGCAGCCTTGGGAGAGGTTTGGAGGACTAAACATCCGCATGCACCAAGCGATAGGTATCCACCCGCCCCGTTACTACAAATTACTTGCCTCCGAGGCGTCGGATTCCAGCCCCAGGACGAGGAGAGTGCGGCCATTCCCGGTCGGGACGCGGAATTCAAGGACCTCCGCCATGGCTGGGCGGGAAAAGACGGCTCGAATTTAGAAGTGCCGCTCCGCCCGCCCCCTTTCCCGAAGTACATGATTCACACGTGTGTAGACAGTTGTAGTTTTTCTTTTAAAAGCTTCAAGGTTCATCAGGGCTGGGAAGTTGTTTCCAGCGTCATAACTTTCACCGCAGGAGCGTGAACTTAGAAATAGACTAAGACTGCAATCCTAAACAGATTTATTCATGTACTGTATTAGGGAATTAGCCAAAGACAACCTTTTACTTCTGAGGAAACAGGATTGTGTGATCGTGCTCTGCCATGTAAAGCAAGAAGCTGCTTTTGGAAGCTAGTTCTTTCTTCATACACAACTTGGGGAAGGTCCCTTTTGGACTACAACTCCCAGAATCTTCTAGCCAGCGTGGCAAATGCTGGAAAAGGAATTTTTCCAGCCTTTGGCTTTCTGTTGCCTGTACATACAGCTGGACATGAGGAGAGACCTTCCAAAAATATTCTATTCAGAAAAGTGCTTTTTACTAACTGTATGCCATAAAATGTTTTCCCAGCCTCCATCAACAGTGGGTTATAAGGGTCTGGGAAGTCTTTCCACACCTTGGAAGACTGCAAACCCACCTGCTTGTTGTGACAAATGAAGTATGTAGTTTGTGCTGGCTCTCTAATTAGTGTTGCTATATAAATCTGATTATGTCACATACTCTATAGTCATACACTGTATATTTTTAATGGTGATAAACATCTATTAAGTGGTCATCTAAAAGGAATTAAGAGAAGTGATCCTGACAAGGAAACTTTAAAAATGGCCAGTTGTGAGCTTTATCTCATTGTCTAGTGCCTAAAACCTGTAACCCCTTTCCCTGGTGAAGGGAAATTGGACATCAGAAATATGTTTTTGTGTCAGAGGAAATTTGATGAAAATCCAGAAATTCCTCTGAACACAAGGAAAATAGCAAGCAGTGAGAAAGCAAGCATCTATGCCAAGAAACTCTTGCATTTACCTCCTGTATGCTATGGTCTAGGGGAAATTCATACTTTGTCCATGGTTGACTTCTTGCAACCTGTTTTCAGTGATATTACTGATTCTCGCAGGGAACTGCCCTGATGCAATCACAGTGGCAAAGATTATTTTCAGTTAGGACTGAATTCTGTTTGTATTCTTGCAGTACTACTAGGCTATTGAGCCAGTGTGGTGTGCTGGACTAGGAGACATGGTTTCAAATCCCTGCTCAGCCACATAAATTGGGATTGACAAAATGCTTCTTAAAAATCTCACCTACCTTAAAAGCCCTGTTAGTTTCTTTAAAAGTTGGAAGTGACTTGATGGAAAATGACAATAACATACCAGGACACTAGTAGGAAGGTATCTCTGACAGTGAGTAGAATGCCTTTGTCTGAATAACTACCATGTATCCACTCATATGTCTGAATTTGGGGGCAAGGGCTCCCAGTTTTGAGGGCCTGTGTTTTTTGAAAACTAGTACATCTAAAATATATGGTGTCAATAGAAAATCATCTAATTTATTTCTTTAGTTTTCTGTCTTTAAGGAGCCTGTGCATTTCGCTTGTGACTGGAGACAGTTTGCAACATTAAGATCTGTTGTGTGCATCACCCTAAGGTGGTTCTTTCTTCTTCCATTAACCATTTGGAGAATCCCAGATACCACTTCCACTTTCCCTCTTAAGTCTGTAATCGGATGCAGTTGTATGGCTTGTAATTCAGCCTCTTGTCCATCTCTCTCTCTCTCTCTCTGCTTTTTGTTTTGTTTAACATATTTCCTAGTGGAGGCTTCTGGAGAACTGTAAACCATGCAAAGTATTTTGACTTGGCCTAATACCTTAATACAGATACTGTAGCTTATATTAACAACACTCGTTCATTGTTTCTGGACACTGTGCTTCAAGAAGGATGCCAACAAATTGGAACACGTTCAAAGGAGAGCAAAATGGATGATCAGGTGGCTGGAAATCAACTCCTATGAAGAAACACTAAAAGAACAGGGCATGTTTAGCCTTGAGAGAGAAAAAGAGAGGAGATAGGATACCACGTTTCAAATACTGTATGTGAAAGCCTGTCATACAGAGATGGGGGCAGGATCTGCTCTCAATCATCCCAGAGTGCAGGGCACACAACAGTGGGCTTATGTGACAGGAAGCCAGGTTCTGGGAAAACTTCCTGTTAGAGCAGCACAGCAATGGAACCAATTACCTGAAGAGATGGTGAGTGCTCTAACACCAGAAGCATTCAAGACAAATTTGGACAACCACCTGGCTGATGTCCTTTGATTCAGATTCTTGCATTGGCTGGAGGGTTGGACTTCATGGCCTTATAGGCCCCTTCCAACATGATTCCTGCTGTCATATGATACACTTGAAATGTCTGTCTTCGATTGAGATGAAAGTAAATTGCAGGATTTTTTTTCTCTATACTAAATCAACAAGTGCACAGGTCAGGCTTACAACATTTATTCTTCAGAAGCAAATTTGTTACTGTTAAAAAAGTACAAGCAAGTGCAGAGAGAGGGTCATCACCTCATAAAACAGCAGCACTATGGCATGCAGTACACTGAGTGCGTGACTTGGCTCAGATATGCAGGAGATCACAGCAGAGGCTTCAGCAAGTATTAGAAAACAACATGCAAAAAGCAGATGAGAGGTAGAGCTTTCAAATGGTGCAGTTAATTTCTCCAAAACGTCGACATTTCATCACTTTCAAATAGGTCTCCACTTTGTGGAGATCCTTCTTGAAGCAGGACAGAAGGCCATAGTTTTTCAGCAAAGAACCTCGGATCTGGAGATTAGATTCAAATTTGTCATAGGAGAGTCTATGGAGTTGAAGGCCCCGAGAGTTCCCGTCTTCTAGCTCCTGTAAAAACAATTGTTGCAAGTGGAGAGGGTACCGCAATTGTATTCAAATGAAAATTTGCTTAATAACTTCACATTGAAAACATTCTCGTATTTGCTCCTGTGCTGATTATAGCTACTACATCCTTTTTATGGGGTGATGAGGAGAAATGTCCATGTGGTTCCTGCATAAATGATATATGGCCAAGCTGTGGCTTTGCCCAATTGTGTGCTTTTAAATGTAGAAAGTGTGGCAGCAGTGTTGGCAAAGCTGGAAGACTGAGGCAGTCACATGAGACAATACCTGTGACTGTTTTTCTCTTCCAACAAAATACCTTATGATCTAACCCTCCTATGAGAGAGTGTCAGCAGAGTCAGATTGGAACAGCCGGTTGCAAACTTTTCTCCTTGCCATTTAGTTAGCAGGAGATGCACAGGCTCCCAGAGCATGCTGCTTTTGTTTATTTGGGATTTATTTCATTTTGGTTTTTTGTCCCTTCAGGCATGTAGATGATGGTGCTCAACTTCTATGCATATTTGGTATGGATGCTTCCTTCTATAATGTATATCTGCACTACACATGTTTGCATTATCAATCTTAGTTCAGCCATTCCTCTTCAAACAATTAACAGTTGTGTGAAAGAAACTGGATGGAATGTTCCTGTGGGTCCTACCCCTACTCCCCCTTACATTCTTTCTCCTTTGTTGTCCCAAATTATTTTTTAAAAGTAAACTACCGAGTATAGCATTGGATCTCTATCAATGCATTGATACATCAATGCTCAATCACCTCTGCATAGGAAAAAAAAAGATAAGAATGGAGAACCAGGATTTGCCAGCTGGGTGGTATCAAAGAAAGGGAGGCTGTGGGCATATATCAAATTTCATCAGGGCCACTGTGGACAATGGCACCAAAACAATTTGTGGTCTTCAAGTGACCAATTAAACAGAATACAAATATGAAAAAGACTGATTCAAGTCATATCAGACCCAAATCACTCTGATTTGCCTTGCTGATGTAATCGCACCCTTATATTTATCCAGACTTCTTAAGCTCTTATGCAATAAGAAGATGATTTGACTCACTAATTATTACGTTGTATTTACAGGGAAAGGGGAAAGAAACAAACTTCCAGTGCTATTTTTTCCTAAGCACGTTGACCAGAACTGATGTTGTTTGACCATGGCTCATTGTAACTTGGTTACTAGTGAGGGAGGAGACTGCTTACCCGCATAAGAGTCTGGATACCTTCTTCCAGGTCTTGGAGTTTTTCATAGACTCTGTCCGAGGTTCCGAAGACCAGTGTGTTACTGAACATCCTGCTGAGGTGGTGCACAGGACTTAGCCATGACTGAATGAGGGTCAGTGAAAATCTGAGTAGCTCTATATCCTGAAATGAGAAAGAAACAAAATGATCATTATTTTAAGAGCTCTAAAAAGCTCCTCCCATATTCCATCATGATCTTTAAAACTGATAATACTTTCTTAAGTACACCTGCATTCTGAACCAGCTTTGCAAAAGCGCATGTTCAGCAGGGGCAGCCCGCACTTTTGGAATTATTTTCCTAGAGACTCACCTGTACATCTGGAACTGATATAGAATATGTTTATTCAGGTTGGATGTTGATCATAGAACAATAAAGTTGGAAGGGGCCTATAAAGTAGAGTTCAATCCCTTGCTCAAGATGGGATGTGATTAGGTAGAAAGTGGCTCATGGACCTGGACAGGGAACATCTTCCCTCAAAAGAAATTACTTTTTAAGGGATGCCTCTTCTGGACACTATCCAACTTTGTGTCATACATAATAATACACTTCCACAGTGTTATGTGGCCAACTTTCATAATAATACACTTCCACAGTGTTATGTGGTGGGTGGAGGAGATTATGAAACCAACCCAATAGGCAAAGGTTCCAGCTAATGCATATCTCTCAAATCATTTGACAAAAGGTTGTTTAAATAGTGGAACTGGAAACTGAGTACTGTACATGAAATGCAAGGTCTAGATTTTGGACATCAGTAAATCTGTTCCATGGAACAAGGAAAGTTGGCAGTCAACTTACTGTTTTTTGCTGGGCATCATCCTTCCCAGTGGGTGCAGGGATGGTTTCAGAGTAACAAAACTGAGAATTCTTGTTGGACTGTCGCTGGTCTTCTGGAATGTAGGTACGTTCCTGTGCAAATGCACCAAAATGGTGTGAGAAGCTGCAAACACCCACATTTAACCCAAAATGGAAAAGCAAGGCAATGAGCAATGCCTTAGAAAGACAGGAGAGCTGGGCCAACCCACACCATTTTTGTACCTGAGAAGAAAATCCAAGCTGCATCTCCCCAAACAAGTGGTGGGACAGAATACTCTGTTGGTGAGTTCTTGCACAGAGGGAGGTGCACAAGGGAACTGCTCTGCAGCTTCCTTTCAGTTCAAGGTAATCTGCATGGGAGAACTTCCCTTTAAATTGTCCCAGTGGATCAGATCCATTGCCTCCTTGACCATAATGGTATTGATAATTTGCTGAGTAGTATTTGGATAGTTCAAGTTTAAATTTATTGTATTAGCTAAAAGCCGTCACAATTGTTTAAAATACAAATATAATCAAATAAAATCAGAATAGTATGGTTATATCTGTCTGGAAGGGACCTGTTTTCATCTGAAAGTCTTGCTCTTTTGACTGTGATGTTCTAAGTCTGTTTATAGTTATTTAGTGGCAGAAGGAGACAGTGCTACATGCCTTGGGGAAATTAAAGTAATTGTGCAGAATACAGTAATCTTTTCAGACAATCCTATTCATAATCTAACCAAGTATTTACTAAAGTAATGGAAAGTCCTTTGCAAAATTGCAGATTTTCTGTTAATTTTCAAAACAATGCAGGACAGCTGGTGGTGAAAGCTTCTGGGAGTTGCAGTCCAAAACTCCTGAGTAACCCAAGTTTAAGAACCAGTGTTCTAACAGATGCATTAGAAGAACCTGTTGCAAATTATGATAGGAATCAAGTTAAACCCAACCCTACATCAATATGTGGTTTTCATTTGAGATGCATGCAGGCATCTTGGAAACTTCGGGTTATCTGGAACAGCATTCAACAAGATCATTGTTTGTCCCCAAATACCTAGGTATTACTTTTGATTGTATCTGATATATAAAATCCACTATCAAAATACAAAACAAAAGATCTCCACGAGAAATAATATATTTTAAAAGCTGTCAGAAACAGCTGGGGCACATCCACAGACACTAAGAACTAGACTCTTGACACGAAGAACTAGACTGTTACCCCTCAGGTGAATGCCTTAGCTTGATGTTTTATAGTCCAGCCCAAACAAAAAAAGGGAAATGTAGTACTCAGTGAAAACTGTAGAACTGTTACTTTGTGTCATAAGCCAATTCCGATTGATGAAACCTGGCAGGAATTGCATCCAGTGACATACAGCTAATAGTGTAAGACTCAAAACATCTACACCAAATGTGCATCCACTCTTTAGCTGTTATCCTACCCATCCCAAACTGAAACCAAGGAAAAGTCTTTTGGGAACATCTATGAATTGTGAATACCAGGACTAAAAGGCAGAAAGAAAGAATTCCCCATCTCTTAAAGTGGATGGCAACCCAGGCAAATATAGTCCCCCATCACATGGAGATCTGGGTTACTTGGAAGCCATTTAGCAGGCTATGGGGTGGAGTTATTTTGAAACTGAAGAGTTTCAAAAGAATATCAACCTATGCGTTATAGACTGAAGCAAAACCTTTGACTGTGTGGATCGCAAGAAACTATGGGTTATTCTGAAAGAAATGAGTGTGCATCAGCACTTGATTGTTGTGATCCATAACTTGTATTGTGGATAAGAATCTACTATTATAACAGAATATGGAGGGGCAGAATTGTTTCATATAAGCAAAGTTATCAGAAAAGGCCAGTAGCTTGTAACATTCTTACTTTTTAGAAAGCTTTTTTTAAAAAAGTAACTGTTTTAGTTCCTTTCAAGAAAGGAACTATAACAAGAAAGAAGATCATTATTTTTTTTGGAAGTTGCAAATATAATGGTAATTAATTTGTTTGGATACGGAATTAGCAACTATAGCTGATGGAGTTTTTTGCAAATAATTTTCCAAGTTCTAACTCATATTTCTATGTCCAAAACACCCTGGAAATATTGGATACTTGTCAAGACTTTAGGAAGAGCTGTTATGCATACTTACTTAATTTTTATTTTACCTTACAGCCTTCTGCATAGCAGTGTTCCCACAAATATGTGGAAATTGCTACCTTATATTTGGGTCACCTTGTTTCACTTCAAAGTCCATGGATAGATTCTTAGCCACCTGACTTCTCTCTTAATAGGAATAATGATATTAAACAAATGGATGGCAATCCCAAATAATACCCCCTTACTCACAAATTCCTTGAAGGTGTCTGTGGCAAGTACGTGCAGATGCTGGGCTCTTAGTACCGCATTGGCAAAGAGACTGGAGAGGGGCATGGTGGGGAGGGCTCTTGTTACCTCAGGCCATTGCAGAGCCAAGGAGAACAAAGCAATGAGAAGCAGAAGAGAAGGTCTAGAGCCTGCAAAAGAAGATGCATGTTTTCAGAAAGCAGGGCCTTTTCTAAGGGCTCAGGATTTCTGCAAATTAATAAAAGCAAATGGTGTAATAAAACAGCTGAGCTGAATCCAAGCTTCTTTGCAAATTGGTATACCCTGTTAAGGCTGAACTTAATTCTTGACAAATCTTGGGTACAGCTTTATAATCTTTTTTAAAAGGTCTGTTCCTTTTCAGTGGAGAAAAACTGAACCTTATAAAATCAGGTGCTTCTTAACAACCTTGAGAAACTGAAATTCCTGCTCAGCTCTCCTTTGGAAGGCAGGAAACAGGGAGCACTGCACTTCTTTTAAATTATTGCAATGCTTTGAAACTTTTTTAAAGGCCTGTTAAAGTATCACTGATGTACTGTGTCAGTTAACAACCATTGAAAAGAAATGGAAATCTTTGTCTCCCCCTCCAAAGTAGGGCCACACAGAAGTTTTCTGATCCTCAAGATTGTTAAGAGGCTTCTTCCAAGGGACAGCCAGTCAGCTCATTAACAATCTTGAGAAATGTCTCCTTTTTAAAGGAATAAAAGATCTTGTTTGTGCCTAACAGGGTGGGTTGAGGTGCAATGTGGTTTCCTGACTCAAAGCCACCTGATCCTTGTGTGTGGATACAAGGATTGCATCACACACTGCTGTGCAACCTTATTTGACCTTAAGTGACCCTGTTTAGACAAATCCAGCCTGCTCCAATTTGGCTGTCTAGCCAATCCCTAACTTTGATTAACTTGATTTGTATTCTGGTAATTAGCACCATAAGTGGTTTGAATTACTGTATATCAAGGAGGCTGCCTGAAATTAGCCACATAACTGTCTGTTTGACCTACAGTATATTGATTGTCTCCAATACATTAGTTTCCCAGATTATTTCAAACAAAGCCATGTCATTTAACCAGCTTTTAGCTGGGTGTATATGCCTACATCTAGCCAGACCTTAGAATGAATATGTATGTTCAAATAATGCAGTTCATGCTTTTAGTTGCTTTTTGAGCCTGAAGGGTAAGATGAGGTTACATTTCAAAAATAACTTCTTGAAGATGAATGAAGTGATTTTATTTGTGTAGTAAACAACATTTTCTTGTTACTTTCAAATATCTTTTAAAGGGCCTTTCAGAGACATTTTATGTTGCCAGTCCTTATCAATCCTGACATTCCTTTTAAAAAGTAGCAAAGTTACGAAAAAGTGATATGTAGTGGAAGAAGCAATATGAGTTACTTTTCCACAGCTTTAACAGATAACAATTGGTTAGATAGATAAACTTTATTATGCTCAGTGACCAATATATGAAGTATAAATGAACCATAAATACATAAAACGTTATTCCAAGAACCTGTATTACTATGTTTCCCAAAAACATGAAAATAAAAAAACTAAACATCTCCTAGTGGCATAGTTAGTAGTGAATGTGTTCCCCTCTTAGAAAATTGCTGCTGTTAACTAAAATTGATTATGATAAATTTACTAAAAATGCCTTCTTTCACAAATTTTGATTGCAGCCATGCAAAATATCACCACATTAAAGAGCATACTGTACATATATTCAGCCTTGAAAACAATAAAAGGCCTCTTCACATCTAGTAAATAGCTTTTTAGTTCAATAAAAGTTTTCCTAATATCAGAATAAAAAGGGCACTGCAAAAGAACATGAGTTATTAATCCCATTCCTCCAGAATTGCAAAGACATTTGTGTTGGCAGTATGGGATCTTTTTAAACTTCCCCTCCTGGACAGCTGATGGCAGAGCATTTAGCCAGGCAACAAATGAAAGCTCTATGGTGCCTTTCTATTGAAAGCAAATAAAAATAATTAGCTGGATGAAAAGGCAACAATGCTGTATCATTTACTGTAGAATATTGTTCAAGGTTGCAATGAGATCATTTTGCCTCTTGACTTCTGTCATAGACTCGTCTAGCTGCACATATCCCATATGGTTATGTAATTCCACACAGAAACTGCATCCTTTATGTTTTGCAAAAAGAGCTTTCTTCCAAACAGACTGATTATTGTAATATTAGAAAGGTCAAGCCTATCAATTGGGGAAAATATTAGCATCAGCAAAAAAATAAAGATACAGTAAATAGCCAAACCCTAGTTTCAGCCATCCAGTATCCCACCTCCAACTGCAGAGCTGCATTTGGGATCTAGCAGGGTACTTGAAGAATAGTTCTCAAAAATCTCTTTGGCCTGCTTCCAAGGGAATAAAAAGGCCCAGTTGTGCACCATAAAGAAGCTGACTGAGAGAGCTGGCCTGGAACAATTTCAAAGCAGCTGGAATATAATGCCCCTCCCCGGTGGGGGAAAAAGTATTACCGAAGCAGATCTCTGCTGCTTGGGCAACATATTCTGCAAATACTTTACTAGTGCCATTTGCTTGAAAGGCAACACCAGGATACTTAAAGGCCCTTTACCTGCTCAGACTTGTGGCCATTTATTACTAGTTTACTTTTTCCACCAAATACTGCAGGATCAGAGCCAGCACCAGGGTGGATCGTCCTGTTCTAAAGCCTGCTTTTTTGACAACCAAAATGTTTTCAGATTCCATCTAGCTTTGAAGTTTCCAATAAATGTCTAGTGTTGAGCTTACTAATTACAGGCAACTACCTGGGTAATCACGTTGCTACCAACATGAATTTGACCCATCTCTGGGAGGCAGTGGAGGGCAGGAGAACCTGCCGTGCTCTGGTCCATGGAGTCATGAAGAGTCGGACACAACTAAACGACAACAACAACAACAACCTGGGGAATAATGTGCTGAATTATCCTTCTTGCCCTTTTTGTAGATTGGGATGGTAACAGCTATACTCTGATTAAATGGCATTTGGGCATTCTGGTCTACATATATAAAAAGATCTGCCTTCAATATATATCCACTGGCAACTGGAGAGCAGCAAAGTATTTTAGAAGATCAGTCTAGGCTTTATAGACTAAAGCAAAGTCTTTGACTGTAGATTATGAGAGACAATGGGTTGTTCTGAGACTACTGTAAAGCTAAGTCTTTGACTATAGATTATGAGAGACAATGGGTTGTTCTGAAAGAAATGGATGTGCCTCAGCACTTGATTGCCCTGATGCACGACTTGTATTGTGGACAAGAAGCTAGCATTGGAGGCAACGTGACAGCACACAACAGTAAGTTGGTTCCGACTTCACAGCAAATAACACACACATCTCATACACACCTCAATTGAGAGATGTCAATAGCTAAATGATAATTTTTCAGACCACTTCTGTCTCCAGCAAAACAATTGTGAGTAGGGTGATGGTGGTTGTTTTGCATCAAGCAGGAGTGGTGTATTTGAACTGTCACTTACAAACATAACTATTCTCAGACTTTCTCATATTTAAGGCTATCAAGGCAAGTCCAGATGGAATGCTTTGACATTCTGTCTTGGCAACTGGATCTCTAAAAAGTAGGAAAACTCTATGCCAGGAAAGTGGTGGCCTTTAACCCATGAAGAAATACTTTATACTCTTTTAGACCAATGGCCTGGATAGCCAAAATTTATTTATTTATTTAACTTACATGCCTCCCACACTACCCAAAGGTCTCTGACATAATGTGAATACATTATGTACTGGCATTGTGGGGTGGGGCTGTCTCTAGGTTTTATGTTGGGGATCCTTTAGCCAGAGATGCCCGGGTTGAGTCACATACTTTCTCTACATACCCCATTGGACTCAGACATCATAACAAGTTACAAATAATGTAGTTATCTGTATAAAGTTCCCCTTCATTTTTGGTACCAAGCATATAATGATTATACATTTCAAACATAATGTAATGAGTTGGAACAATGCCTTTTTTTGCAGTGAGTAGCATTTTCTAGTTACTTTTAAGGAGACATTTTTACAGGCTCTTTTAAACCAAAAAATTTTCAAGACCCCTCCAAGTATCTGAAATAAAGTATTATAGCGAGTTACTCCTCCTTAAAATTCTAATGTTAATTAATCACTTATGGTGTGTTCTGACATGTTACACAATGAATTAATTTTATGAGATAGTTCAAAAGCTAGATCTTCCTTCCTCTCCCCACTCACTCGTGCACACATGCACACACAAAATGCAAGTACACCACCTCTTACAGTAGTTTGGGCTTCTTTTGAGAGGTACTCATGCTCTAATATTCCCTATTAACAGGTACGGTGAAACTAGTGAAAGATGCATTTAGTGGTTTATATGAACAGCTAGGAGATTAGTGTTCTCCATATGCACAGCTACCAGCCATTCCAGTTTTATCGCCCCAGTACACCTTGGGCCTTACTATCCAGAAGTTGGTCACAGGCTTTACAGCAGTTTCGCCTGCCTTGGGCTTTACTATCCAGAAGGGTGGCTTCATAAATTGGTCACAGGCTTTACAGCAGTTTCGCCTGCATAGGCTACTTGAACAGGGAATGCTAATTAGTTCAAGCAAAGGGTCATAGTCCTCAATTAATCTTCAAATAGAAGAGAGATCAAATGTACTTGGGAACATAGACTTTCAACACACCACTTGTGTACAGTTACGTTTTCTCATTTAGCTTGCTCCATATTCTGAATTTTATCCAAACATAATTAACAACTAAACTTATGCATTTCTTTTCTTCTGGGATGGTTAGATTTCATCACTTTCTTCCTGTCCTCCTAAAGCAAATTAATTTAATATTGACACAAAGAATCACAGCAAAAATAAAACCTGCAGCCAGACCCAGATTTGATCTTCACCACCTTAATTACCACCTCAGTCATGTCACCTTTATCTGTTCCCACTGAATTTCTGTGGACCTTGCACCACTTCAGGCCCAGAGCTTCCAGCCACTAAAAAAGTTGCAAGCATCTACCTTCTGCCGCCTTATAAGTAAAAACATACCTGAAGCCATTTCTTTTGATGGATCTCTGGAGAATTTGAAGCCAGTTCTCTTTCTTTCGCATATGGAGCCCAGTGTCTCTGAGCCGTTCATATATATATCCAACATGTCATGTTTATTCATCTATGATAGCTCACCAACATACACTGATGCATATATGTAAAAGGGATCCATGTCATTTGCCAACAAGGAGGGGGGGCAGAGACCGTGACCTTATCACTACGATTTCATATTAGGGAGACCTGGAATTTTGGTGCAGCAGCAATCTAGGTGTGTTGCTGGGAATACAATGTAATGCATAATAAATAATAGAACAGAAAAAGAGAGACAAACATAATGAAACCTCTTCAGACTTTAAAAAATTGCAAGAAAATAAAAAGATGTTCGCCGGTTGTGGAAGAGAAAACAAGGATGACACCAGGTGCCTCTCCTGGAGATGGAATTCTAGAGAACAGGGTGGTCACAGCAGAAAAGACCCTGTCCGCTGTCAACACCCACCTAATCTTAGAAGGTGGTAGTATGCAGAATAAGCTTCAGAACCTCATCTTAAACATCTGCTCCTGTTGATGTGCTTTCAGTTGCACCCTGCCCAAATTTGTGGCGGTGGGCTTGGACATGGTGTTAAGAAGACCCAGCTTACTGATCATGAATTTAGAACCTCATGACTGGAGCGACAGCCACGAGGTTATCCCAGCATGTTATCACACCAAGACATGTGGCAGGTCACACTCTGACCCTAGCATTTTCTGCTGAGCCATTGCCTCAGGCCTCGCACATGGACGGAGCTACATCAGCAGTGACAAAGTAACATTATATTTCAATCTTTGTACAGTACTTGTAAAAACTATAGCCCTGTCATAGTTCACCCCCGTTTTAGGCAAGAGCGTGGTACTGGCTCAACTCCAAATGGTATGAGGTGAAATAGATTGTTTGCAGATCCATTTCAATGTACTTTCAGGTGCTGTTTTGGCTTTGTAAGTGCTTTGGTTATGGTGCTTATATTGTCTTGGTTTCTGGGGAACATAGATAGTCTCAAGGTTTGGGGACAGGTGTCATTAGTATGCTGATAACATCTAGTTATACCCTATGTTTTCCATTGAACAATGGAGGGCACACAGGAATGCTGGGCAGGTGCTTGAACTGGCTGTGGGTAGATGGGGGTAGGGGGATTGTGTGGGCAATGGGGAATAAAAATGACTGTTCTTATCTGCAAACCTGGTGTTAGGGAAAAGTGTAACGCTCTTGAGGACTGTTTGCTCATGGTGTTCTTCCTGAGTATTCCGATCTTTGTCTTGGCTGCTCTGCCTAAAATAGTATTCTGAGGAATGATTTAATTTCCTCCTTTATTAGTCCTCTTACCTTATCTCTCAAAATTCTTAGTAAATCACACTAGAGTAAGACCATTGAATCAATGGGGATTTGGTGAATCAACTCCTCCATAAGTTGCATTGATTCAAATGGGCCTACTTCAGTGCAAATTACTATGTGAAAGGATTTTGGCCATTCTTATTTTCTCTCTCAGACAAAAGTTCCAGTAATAAATTTTGGTTTGGTTTGGTTTCCTTTTTCTGTAAATTTCCTTTATAATTCCAACAGATTTGAGTCTCAAACAAAGTTTCTGTGGGACTAAGAAATCCTGCCTCTTCTGAGTGTGTCTTCTATGTATGCTGAACAGAACAGCATGGGAAAACTGCAACCACCCTCCAAACAGGAAATATCACAGCGAGGACTGGAGAGTTCTGTTCTATTGAAATACAAACCGAATGCTAGAAGTATCAGCATCATAGGGATTTCACATTTTAATGCTGTGTTTTGTTCTCTGTGTTGTAGTGATGACAGTGGCAACCTTTAGACCTCAGGTGTGTGTTGTCGTACAGCTCATCAGTTGTTGACATCTGGGTAACACACCCACAAAGACTTATGCAACCCAACTCAGCGATCTCCCAGTCCGTGACATTTAGAGATAAGGTTTGATGTCACCCCATGAATAAACACAGATTTGGGGAGGTGAATTGTGGGCCTCTTCTCAGAAGCCCCTCATATAGGCATGGTGGTAACATTGTGTAAAGGTCATCTCCTAGGAAAGCCATTGTGGGAGGGGAAGGAGAAAAGAGCACACTCCATCCATGTTTGGTATCCAGTAACCGAAGAGGCAGCAACATCTGGATGTGTTTTTTCCCCCTTTCACTCTGGATCATTTTCAGATTCATCAGCATTTGTCAAATCATGCCTCTGTGTAGGATACCTTGTGAAATTTTAGTCATTCACACCTGAAGAAGGTGCGTTAGAGAGAGAGAGAAGATATTGTAGTCAAAACATATCAGGAAATTGGCTTATCTTTTGTCCAGAGACACGTATCTATGCTATAAATTGAGGTTAATGAAATTGTCAGTGGTGGTAGAGAGTAAACCGAAGAAGATT